TGCAGGCTCGGTCTAATGCAGTGGCTGGGTGCAGCCTCTATCCCCTGCAGTGGCTGGGTGCAGCCTCTATCCCCTGCAGTGGCTGGGTGCAGGCTGGGTCCCGGGAGGCAGAGCCCATGCCGTTGTTTTCCATAACCCCCCCCACCATGCATACTGGGCACCCACCATGAGAAAGGGGCACAGACCTTCTGGTCTGTTGTCAACCGCCTGCCTCTGTCTAGCAACGCAGTGCTCTGCTGGAAGTTCTGCCATGTGTTCCATAAACTCCTCCGAGACGGACACCCGAACGTGAGTTCCTAGGGCTGTGGGGTGGCAGGGAGCCAGGGACCCTTGTGGGGAAAGTAACTGCCTGGGCCACAGAGGCTGCTGTCCTCTCCCACACTGCCACCTTCTCCTGGCCTTTGGGTTCCCCATCAGAGGTGGGTGAACCTCTCTCCCATCAGCCTGTCCCCCCACCCCAGGTTCACCTTCGCCTCTCTCCATGCTCTTTCCCTTTGTCTTTCCTTCCTTCTCCATTCTCTCATGGGCTGTTCTTTTGCCTCTGCAGGTCCTGAAGGACTCTCTGAGATACAGAAATGAATTGAGTGATATGAGCAGGATGTGGGTGAGTTTGCAGATGTACCCAGGAGCCACCTGCTCCTCCTGTCCTTCCCCAGAGGCCGCAGAGTAAGGACTGAAGGGTGAATAAATTGATCTCCTTCAGCTTGTTGAGGATTTCTCCCATGAACGCCAGAGAGAGACTAAGGATGCCCCCAAAGTGTACCATGATATCCATAGTCTTGCCTGGGGTCCCTGGACGCTTCAGGAAAGGTCCAGGGCCCGGGAGCTTCTCCTGCCAATGGAAACTCATGTCACAAAGCTGTGACATGAGTTGGGATCCCTCAGCAGTAGCTACACGGCCATGGTTCCTGGTTGTTTTTCTTTTTTTTTGGTAGAGATGGGGTCTCGCTATGCTGCCCAGGCTGGTCTTGAACTCCTGGCCTCAAGTGATCCTCCCACCTCAGCCTCCCAAAGTGCTGGGATCACACACATGAGCCACTGTACCCAACCCACAGTTCCTACTTCTCTTCTCTTTCCATTGGTCCCGTTGGAGTCATAGTACATTGAGAATTAGAATTAGCATACCCAGTTCTTAATGCCAGAGCTTTTTCTTTCCTGTTTAGAGATTCTCAGTGCTTTAGGATGAGGGAGGAGGTAGGTGGCAATATCACAGTCAATGGAAAAGAGCGTTTCTATACACAGAGCACAATCACCCCAGATTCTGATGTCCGTGGGTGTGTATATGGAGAGGGGTAGTTTGCATTTTGAAGAATCTCCCTTGGCCAGGCGCAGTGGCTCGCACCTGTAATCCCAGCACTTTGGGAGTCCAAGGCAGGCAGATCACCTGAGGTCAGGAGTTTGAGACCAACCTGGCCAACATGGTGAAACCCCGGCTCTACTGAAAATACAAAAATTAGCCCGGTGTGGTGGTGTTTGCCTGTAATCCCAGCTACTTGGGAGGCTGAGGCAGGAGAATCGCTTGAACCTAGGAGGCAGAGGTTATGGCGAGCTGAGATTGGGCCACTGCACTCCAGCCTGGGTGACAAAGTAAGACTCTGTCTCAAAAAAAAAAAAAAAAAA